CCTCTCCTAAGAATGCTGCTCCTGGTCCTGACGGTTATACTTTCGAATTCTACAGAGCTGCTTGGAATACTCTTGGTAAACATATTTGTAATGCCGTCCAATCCTTCTTCCACACCTCTTTTCTCCCTAGACATGCTAAGAACACTGTTGTTGCCCTCATTCCCAAGAGTCCTCATGCTTCCTCTGTTAATGACTACCGACCTATTTCTCTTTGTAACACCTTCTACAAAATCATTGCCAAACTTTTAGCTAACAGGATGAAAATGGTCATGCCTTATATTATTCATCCTGCCCAAACTGGTTTTATTAAAAACAGAATTATCACTGATAACATCATTTTGGCCTCGGAAATTCTTAGCACCTTCAACAAATCTGCAAAAAACCATGTTTTTTGTGCCAAATTTGATATTCATAAGGCCTTTGATACTGTTTCTAGAGAGTTTATTCTCAGACATATGCAAGCTAAAGGCTTTCCTCCTATTTTTGTTTCTTGGATTAAGGCTTGTATTACTGATATTCATTTTTCTATTGCTATTAACGGCTCTCTTGAAGGTTTTTTTTGGCTCTGCTAACGGTCTTAGGCAGGGATGTCCCCTGTCCCCTTACCTGTTCACTCTTGCTATGGACGATCTCTCCTCCTGTTTTGAAGATGCTAAAGCAAATGGGAACTTTGTTGGTATCAATGTGGACAACTTCAACATCACCCACCTTTTGTATGCGGATGACTTACTGGTTTTCTCTAAAGCTGATTTACAGGAGGCGGCTAATCTTTCAAAAATTCTGAATATTTTTGAAAAATCCTCTGGGCTGAAAGTTAACCCCCTTAAAAGTTCTATTCTCTTTTCAAAAAATTGCCCTTTGGATGATGATATCTGTGAGCTTCTCAACATCAAGTCTACTTCCACACCTCTTAAGTATCTTGGGCTCCCTATTTTTCTCAAAAAGCTTACTTTTGCTGATTTTAACCCTCTTATTAAAAAAATCACCTCTGCTTTAGAGGGTTGGAGGGCTAAAACACTTTCTTTTGGGGGCAGAACTCAATTTCTTAAGTACACCATCTTTAACACTATTGCCTATTGGATTAGGGGCAGTATTATGCCCAAAAGGTGTTTTCAGGTCTTAAACAAAATCTGTGCTAGATTTCTTTTCTCTCGAGACACTGTTGTTAAGAAACTCAGGCTGATTGCCTGGAAGGATACCTGTATTCCTAAGACTATAGGTGGGCTTGGAATTCCTTCTATGGATTCTCTTTCCTACAGCTTCAACTGCTCTACTATTTTAATATTTTTGAATGAGGAGAACAATCTTTTGTTTAACTGCTGGCGTGAACGTTATTGCTCTCTTTGGTTACCCTCTAAGAATTCTTCGTCTCTTTTCTGGAAGAAGCTTTGTTTAACTGCTCATTCCTCTAAGCATTGCTGGCAGTTCAGGATTCTTTTCAACTGTCAACTCTCTTTTCTTTGGGATCCCTGGTGTTTTGGGAAATCGATTATGGATTTAGTGGATCAAAATGTTGATTCTTCTTGGCTGGATCAGTTGTCGAAAGTGCTTGTCTCTCACTTTTTGATTAATAGTACCTGGAATTGCCCCTCTACCTGGCCTTCCTACCTTGTGAATCAAATTCTATTGGTACCCATATGGAATATTGGAAGAACTTGTTTATGGTACTCTGCTGATAATTGCTCCAATATGCTGTTCAGGAAAGAATTTTTTAAAGGGTATCCGGTGGTTAACTGGCATCGTTTTATTTGGCACAAACGTAATGCTATTCGTTTCTCCTCTTTTGGTTGGATGGCTGTGAGAAATGGACTCAAAACTGCTGATAATTTGTTGAAAAGAGGCATTAATGTTAACCCGAGCTGCTCCTTCTGTTTGGATTTTACAGAAAGCCACAGTCACCTTTTCTTTGAATGCGATTTCTCTTTTAGCATCTTGAATTCTATAATTCCTCACTCCCAAACTCTGCTGCTTCGTCCTAACCTGTTTCAGGTTTTTGATCTTATTGAGGAAATTGCAGATAATGCTGTTAGTTTAAACTTCTATTCCATGCTTATAAACATTGCAATTTACTACATCTGGAGGGCGCGCAATGACAGAATTTTTGGAAACATTATTGAATGCCACACCACTGTTTTCAAAAAAATTAAAAAGGCTGCCCTGGCGAAGCTGGAAAATTGGGCTAAAAGACATCTTGTTCTTCACCTTCTGGATTAACTGTATTATGCTGGCTTTCAAGCAGACTGTCTCTGCTTGGTCTATTTCTGAGAATTCTTCTGGTTGGCCCATATGGCAACCAAGCTGCTTCGTTTTGCATCTTCAGACAATTTTGCAGGACAATGATGAGTACTGTAGTCCTGCCTCTTGGAGGGCCATTTCGGCAACCAGAGGCAACCATTCTGACCATCTCATCGTTCCGGGCCCTTTCGAGTGCTACTACATTTATAACCTGAGTCCTGATCAATTTTGTATACCACAATTTTATTTTTTTGGTTATTACTGGGTGGTATAGTTTTTCTCTTTTACTGTTTTGTTTATTTGGTTTCCTTTCTTCCCAGCTCTGTTTTTTTAGTTGGATGTTAGTTTGTAATAGTTTTTCTTCATCTTAATAGATGGGCTTTGGCCCCAAAATTCCCCAAAAAAAAGAAAATATTTTAAAATCATATATCAAACTAAGGAAGGTCATCTTAAATGACAAGATATCAAATACACTTTTAACTATTTTTTATATGTAAATAACCATAAGGGAAAAAGATTTGTTAAACTCTCACTAACAAAAAATAAGGTTATCGCAGCACAAATTTTGACCTATAGTGACGATTCTAACAGCTACTTTTTTTCCTTGCAGCAGTTTTAGGACCGCTGCACGGCCGTTGTAATCGCAATGCGCTACAAAGATATTCTGCAACAGTTTATAGGCTGGCATGATAGTTTTGTCTAAGTGCTTAATTTAAACGTTGCATACTTACAAAATTATAGTGGTTATAACCGCTATAGATCTGAAGGAAACGAAGTGATTTACAGAATTGTGGCGGTTACGATTATAACCGCGGTCCATATTTTTTTTCTAAACACAGAACTGAAATGATCGAGCAATGCTTCTTTTCATTTGGATGCAGTGGAATAATACAATACGATCGAGCTGTGCATGGAGAAGGGGTTGGGATCGAAAGAGAAAAAGATCAGAAAAAGAAGATGGATCGCAAGTCGCAAGAGTCCAGCCAGTATAAGAGGCTAGCTTTTGGCAATAGCATCAGTTAAAACCTCTGGTTTTTGCACTGGTTAAAACCACTGCTAGGTTTTGGCAATAGCATCGGTTAAAATCGTTGCTAATACCGCGTTTTGACAAGCGGTTTTCAAATCTCCCATAACAAATGTTACGAAAATCCATGTTTTTTATTAGTGTCTACAACCCAATCTGAACTTTAGAAATTTTAACAGAGCTTAGTTCTTTGAATGCTGGATGCACCAAATAAGTTTACTATCATGTTGTGATGAAAATGAGAAGGTGCGGTAGAATGAAAAGGAACAAACGAACAAGCATCTCCATGGCCATGTAAACTGAAATAAGCCAGCAATCAGATCTGAAATCAATTTGTTAGCCTTTCCTGGCTCAGGCTGATGCTTCAAATCACTCTACTCTCTATAAGAATCTCCAGCTATCATTCACAGTTAATGGATACGAAGCTGCTTTGACCAACGAACACTACAAAATTTTTATAAGAATTTCCAGTACCGGCATCAGCAGCAGGTCAGAGCTACAAAAACAAGCCTGATAGCTGGTAATGATGCCATGCCAACACCTGTAGCCATGAAAGACACCAAAAAGATAATAAAAAAAGAAGTGGCCCCTGAGAAGACCTGTCTTATAATAAATAGATTGTCTCAAAATCAGGTGACTGAAGTCTGTGGAGACTGGAGAGGGAGATAGATTCAACAAAATGAACTGTATGAAGGAATCAAATTGCAAATTTAACAGTTTGAATTTCATAGATCCAGACGACAACTACAGTAAACCAACAAATGTGTTTGGCTTTCGCTTTTATTGTGAATCGAGCTTGAACTGTATGCATCGTTCATGGAACTTTTAAGCTTTGATTTCCTTCTTAAATAACCATTCAGTTAGACTCTGGTTGAGAAGGTGACATCAATGAATGATTTAAGCTCGATTCTAGAAAATTTAGCAACTTTACTTCTGTCGTAATCAAATGTTGTAATTAGCAGAAGCGCTTGTTCTTGTTTATGAAAATTTAGCAACATTACCATGAGACCAATCAAAGCATGGTGGCCAGAATACAGAGAGCTCTGCTATGTGGATATATAGATGGGGACCAGAGAACTACCAGTGATCTCAAGTAAAAAAACAAAAGACCTGTCTTGAAAATGGCAGGCTGGCTTTGCAGTCAAGGTGAAGAAGTTAGAAGAGTCTAGGATGGACAGAGGTTAGAAGACCCCTACAGAAAGCATCTACAGGCTAATCAAAAAAGATGAGTGTAAAAACCTGATCTAAGTTCATTATGACTCTGAAATTAAGCTTTGATTTCTTCAACAATGGAGCGCAGAAGCTAAGGAGGAGGAGAACTTATTCTGTGCGGACACAGGATAGAGAGAACCGTCTGGTTTTCTCTCTGTCTATAATAAAAGCGCAGCTGTTATAGTAAAAACTGCTTTTACTATAAACTGAGAGAACATCGGACGGTTCTCAGGTTGGATGTCCGCATAGAATAATTCATCAAGAAGATGGCCCAATAAATCTTATAAAACATTTAAGGCTTTTTCAGTTCATTTTACTTGTTCGATTCATGATGATTTTGATAAGATTGTTTATTGATTGTGAAAGAAAGTAAGAACAGCCATAAATGTTTAATCATAAATAATTTGAAAGTTTGGACTATACTGTTATTTCGATGTTATCTTCAATATTAACCTATAAAAAATAAAATATAAATTTTAATGCATATTTTAGGTATAGCAAAAAATCAAAAAAAGGATTTTTTTTTTTCTTTTGAAGTACCAAAACCAGAGACATGGAATTAAAATTCAAATTCAAAAGGCGAATTACAATCCCATTACCAACACTCTTATTTCACTTCACTACCTTCAACGGTCACAATTACCCTTTTCTTTTTTCTTTTACTTCCCTTCTCCCGCTTCAAATCCTAGGAAATAGAATTCCTCCACCTCCTCGTCCCCTTCCTCACAGCGGCCACATCCGCCGCACCTCCACCCGCCGTCATCTGCTCCTGCCCTTCCATGCCTCCCATCTTAGTCAGCCTACTCAATCTCTTCCACCCACTCGTCCACCCCGATGACGCCGCCGTTGACCCATGCTTCCCCGTCTTAGCAGCCAGAGCCGTCGTCGCCGACATCTTATCAAACTGCCTCTGCAAACCTTCCATGTCATTTTGAAGCTCGGAATACTTCGTCTTCATTGTTTCGAGCTCGAATTTCAGTGTGTTTATATCCTTTTTGGCGGCGGCCCAGCCTTCCTGGAAGGATTGGGGCGTGCCTTCGATGAGCTGTTTGCGTGTGGAGATGATGGGTTGGTATGGGTGGCCGTCAGTGGCGACAGAGGCTGCGGCGGCGGCTTCTTTGAGGGTGGAATTGGCGATGGCGTTGCTGATTTTGACTTGCTCGGAGAAGAGGACTTGGACGACGATTCGGAGGGGAAGGCGTTCGTTCTGTGCGGCGTGCATGCAGGCGTCGATGGAGAGTTTTTGGCAGTCCATTACACGGCATAGGCGTTTTCTCTCGTGTTCTGTTAGGGTCGGGTGAGCCTGTTTTCAAACGGCTCCATTCATTCAATTTGTAAGATACTTTTGGATACAAATTTATAGCATAAATTGTAGAAATTTATCCAGAAGAAAGGAAGCAACTTTACCTTGAGGTAAGAGTCAACAGCCCTGTAAAGCCCATCATCACAAGACCTCGCCGAATCCGGCAAAGCCTCAGCCAAAACTTGAAACTTTGTCAGCGACAAATTCCGATCTCTCGACACCTCCGTCAAGTAACTATCAATCAATCTCGCCACCCTCATCTTTGCATTCGTTCCATGCTTTCCCGCCGGCGGACTTTCCCCTTCCGCCGTCTGTTCCTGCACCAAAAAATGCTCCACCAATCTCTGCACCAAATCCACATCAAACATAGTCTCGCTCTTACTATAATAAGCCGGAATCATCAAATCGGCTAAGCTCGCCTGCTCCAATTGCATCCCCACCCTCTTCTCCAGCTCCGTCACCAATGCCTGCGCCACTTTCAATAAGCTCGCTTGGCGTAGAAGCCGCAAGAGAAATCCGCATGTTACGCTGTCTCGTTGAGCTGGAATGATGCTTATAAGGCTTTCTATCACCATCCTCTGTTCTCTGGCAGCCGATCCTGTCCACTCTGCTTCCCTAACTCCAGCGCTGGCGGGGCCTGTGCCGGCGGCAACAATCATGTGGAGTCCTCCGCCGCCGGCTGCAATGGAGGAGTAGTCGTCGCTGCTGCTGATGTTGTTGTTGTCCTTCACTAGACCAGGTAACCATTTCGCTGCGTATTGCATGATGGCGGCGCCGATCAGCTCGTGTCGCATTCCCTTCACCTGTTAGATCTTATCATTGTTCTAATAAGTATTACATTTGACGCAAATTTTAGTAGTTGAGTTTATTATATTTTGACATAAAATTTGATTCAAAATTTTTTAAGTTACACTATTTGAATTGGATCAAGTTTATTTTAATCTTTTAAAAGTTTATAATAAAAATAATGAGAAGTATGTGCCCTCACATTCTTAAAAAAAAAAAAAAAAAAAACTATAACATTTTGATGACAGTGTCAAAACGGGTTGATGTATTAGTCACGGTCAAATCTAAATTTGATCGGGCTCGAACTCAACCAAGTTGACTTATCAGACTAGTTACAAGCCTAAGACTTTGTTTAAAACAGTTTTTTAAATGTTTTGATTTTCAGATCGTAATCATAATTTCTAATAGAGCTGCTTTACAAAAAATTTTGTACTAGAAATATATTTTCTACAACAATTTTAAAAATTATTTTCAAAAAACAACTCAAATTAAGCTTAAATCTTTTTATTTTAAAATCTAATAGCAAACCCCATCATTCTATGAAGTATTGGGAAGTCCAAAACATTTTTTATTGAGAATTGTGATAAAGCATTCAATCAATTGAAAACTCTACTCTCTTCATCACTAAGTGCTCCTTTATCTCATAATGATTGAGGACTCAATTAGCTCAATCTGAGTCCTCAATCATAATCAAAGAAGACAAAAAACAATGGGTTCTCTATCATGTCAGTAAGACCCTTCAACCATTTCTGTCTAATGAATGACCAATGATGACTTATCCTCATTATGACAAACAATTTCACAAAATAAATTAAATAAAGCTCACCCAATGCCTCAATTCAGCCATAAACCTATTTTAGACAATAACTTGATTATTACTCTCGTGTTGCTGAATTTGGATTAGGACTCAGTAAAATCGCCCTCTCGCTGAAAAAATTATTACGTGTGGTCATCAGAAGTCGTATGGAGGCCAATCAAGACAAGTCATATTATCTGACACATCCTGATTGACCTCCGGACCGTCCAGTAACCGACCATAATAATTTCTCCACTCGTTAAGAGTATTTGATTGAAGAATTCAAATGCTATATTTTTTTTATGCTGTAATTATGAAAAACTCTTTTGTACTAACTTAATCACAAAAGAATTTTGAGTTTATTGATTAAAGAGCAAGATTGTTTCTTCAATGTTGTGAATTCAATTAACTTTTTTTTTTTTTGTGATTTAATATTATAATCACATAAGCAACTAAAAAATAGGCTATTAATTTTGGAAGGATCAGCTAAATCTAAGTGTATTTTTTTATTCATTAGGCATCTCATTAGTTTGCTAAAAAACAAAATATTAAAAAAAAAAAAAGAATTATCAGCACCTTGATGGCGGTCACAACGCGCACGAAGTGGTCGATCCGAAGGATGGACACGTCTTCAAACCACCAGTCCGCCGGCACCGGCGAGTCCCGAGGATCTCCTCCGCCGGCAGCGGACCACTTAGGGCTGTTCGTGCGCGACGGGCGGCCGCCGTACGCCCACCGTATTCCCCTCGGGTTTGCGCACGCCTTCCACGCAATTGACTCGCTGCAACGCCGCACGATCTGCAGGTTCTCCGCCCATGGAGAAAGTCCCTCGCAGCTCTTGAGCACCACGATGGAGTCCCGCCATGAAGATAGAACCACATAGCTCAGAAAAGCTTCCGTTTTGAATATGAGGTTGCCTTCCTCCAGATCCTCTGTCATTTCCAGGTATTCAGCCGCACACCGAAGACCGGCGATGTTTGCGGCGGTTAGATCCACTGCGATCCCGTAGCAGAACTTCGCCGCTAGCTCGAAGGCCTCGAACCCGCCGGGGAGGTCGTTAAGCTCCACTACAACGTTCGGGTCCAGCTCCCGCGAGGTCTCGTAGATCATCCTGTTCATTTTGCCGCTTCTCGAGAGCAGAGGATACTTCAAAAACAAAAAAAAAATTCGCAAATTTAAGCACAGGCATAAAGAATCTCTCCACGAAAAGGAAGAAGACGAATCAACGAAACTAACTTTATGCAGATTGAAAGTCAATTCGCCGACTTTGATTACAAGATCGCTGGGAATGTCACTCGAGACGTGCCTGCAGCTCAAAATCACAAGATATCAGAGGCTGTTGAACTTATTGCTGTTTGAGATTTTAAAAGAGACTGTTTTGAAGAGAAAGTTTTGAGAAAATACCAAGATTGCTCTCTGCGAATGAAGCCATCTGGCTTGAAGCCGTCTTGCTTGTCGGCCTCGCCCTCCGGCAGGAAGCTCCTGTCTCTTACTCCGCTGTAACTCTCGCTCTCAGACTCCCACATGACGAACTTTCTCTGCTTTCTTATTCGAGAATAAAAAACGGATATATATACTAAGAAAATGAAGCTAGTGTAGGAGAAGGAAGAAACAGAGAACTGTCGCTTGTTAAATTACAGAACTTCTGTTTAGTTCTTGAAACTGAAAGAAAGAACCAAAAACCCAAGCAAGCAATAACAGAATGACAACGAAAGCCACAACAATGCAGAAAAAACCCCAAAATAAAGAAACAGAGTACTCTGAAACCACAAAGGAAGGATTTCATGCACAAAAGTGGCTTTAGTTCTGGGAACTTCTGCTGAAAATGAAGGACATGGACAACAGAAACATCCAAGATCCAAGGCCTAGAACGGCAGAAAGTAGAATTCAGAGCAAGGTGAAAGGTGAAAAGAAAAGATTCAGAAATCTGGGTCTTCGTGATGAAAGGGTACAGTTGTGGTGATCAAGAAGAAGAAAAAAAAAAATCACATGGGTTGTTTGGAGTTATGTGGGACTCTACTGCTCTCTGTCTTCCATAATTCTACAGGCTGTGAGGTTATGGGCTTCCCGAAAATCCCCTGCTTTGCTTAGCTTCAATGCATTCAAACTCTCCGTTTTTTTTAACCCTCATTCCGAGAGAAAGCTCTGAATTTGCGTAGCCATTGCTGTTTGTTTCTTCGCTTGAGGACTAATTAATTAATTAATTATACTGTGCGTCCTTGCCCCACAAGCAGCAACACCCATCTTGTTCTGTTTGGTTTTTTGGCTAACTATGGAGGGCATGATTGAGAAAGTTTAACAAAAGACCTTTACCATATGAAGAAGAAAATGATTTCTGCTTTCATATTTCATTATCTTTTCGTATTCTGGAAAATTTTTATGTAGCAAAACGCACAGAGAATTATGCAACCATTTAAGTTTGGGAATCATCTTGATATTCTTCAAAGGTCTATTCAAGATTTATCTTTTTCTTTTTTCTTTTTTTTTTTTAATGATGTTCTATTTTATTAGAGGTTAAAAATGTCTTATTTTCTCAAAAATAAATTTTGCATTAGTTTAGCTTCTAACCAAGGTTTATTTTCATTTTTACAGTCAAACTTTGTTACAATATGGTTGATACAAAGTCATGTTATTACATATTTGCCCATGATTTTTTGTTGCTTTTGATTGATGATTAATTAGTCATGTATGTTTATACCTAGAAGAAGCTTTCTTCCTGCTTTTTAAGGCATTTTTTTAGTACAATTTTTTTAGTTTAAAAAATTTATATTAAAAAATTACTTTAAAACACAGTAAGAAAATTGTTACAAATAAAGTTTTAGAAATATGACGAAGTGCATCATTGTTTCATGATAGAGTATTGATGATTTTTTGCACACATTCAAATAGTAGAAATTCAATGCACATAAGATAAGATTAATTTCATGAAAATATAAAATGAAAAATTTATTGGACTTTGTCAAATAGAAATTATTTTTTATAGGTAATAGTCTGTATTATAAAGAAATGTTCTTCCTCAAAATTGAAGAAGACATCAATATAATATTAAAAAAAATTAAATTACAATGCATTGATGGTGAAAGAACTTCAGAGGAGTTAATGTTGATGATAATGATGATTGGGATGGTCCCTTGCCTTCAAGAAGAAAGGGGATCAACGAGTGGAAGTCGGCATACCATTAGAGATTATAGAGAGAGAACTTAATGACTTGAAGTTGGTTGGCAACTAGGTTTAGATTAGATGTGCAAAATAGGTAGAATTTCAACAAGCTATATAGGAAGAATTCGAGGCCATGAATGATTTGCTTATAGAGAAGAGGATGTTGACTCTTTAGTTAGCCAACCCTGGCTGGTCGGAGAAGTGGAGGAAAATCATCACCTTCTTAAGCGGTCGCTTGAGCATGAATGTCTATGATTTTGTTTGTGACAGCTTTCTTACTGTTTCTTAAAATAACTTTTTATAATAAAAAGTTGTTTTAAGAAGCAGTAAAAAAGCTGTCACAAATGAAGCTATGAAATGAAAGAAAAGGAAGCTACTTGTACCAAAGACTAAATTAAATTGATCAATCATTTCTAGATTTGAATCATCTTAATGAGATAAATATATTGATCCCTTTTAAATGTTATTAGAGATAAAAATTTGATTAGGAATCATGTTGATCAAATGTGAAATTTATGATCCCAACTATATACCCTTCTTTTAAATGTTAAAATTTGCAAATCTAAGAAATTTTGGGCTTTTGAAAAGTATACCATCTAAAATTTTATTGTTCAAATTGTTAAGATTTGGCCATTTTTGTGTACATCAACATGAATCCCCCCCTTAGGGTTTTGAACCAAATTATTTTACTTTTTTATAACTTAATATATGTTGGATATATGGGTTTTATTGGCACATTTTCTTAGCAAATAAGTTCTCAAAAACTCAAGCAAAAAACCCTAAATTTATTAGGGTTTGAAAGTGAAAAAAGAATGCCCTTTTTTTACTTTGTATCATTTATTATGATAAAAAGTGACACATTTTTTAAGAAAACAATTTCCCAAAAATTCAAGCAAAACCCTAAACCTATCAAGGTTTTAAAGTTTGAAAATTATTTCTAATGGTCTATTTGGGACTGCTTTTTCTTTTCTTCTTTTTTTTTTTCAAACATCAATCATAATTTTATTTTGCTATTGTTTTCTTGTCGCTTTTTTATTACATTTTATAAATCTTCGTGGTTGACAATTGTTTTTTGCAATCAAAATAGCTAAGTTATTTTCCTCACAACAACTTTACAATCAACTTTATAAAACACTTTAGTTATCCAAAACATATCCTAAACCATAGAAAAGTTATTTTAATTTGGATCTTCCTCTTAGGGTCTTAAACCAACTTACGCTTCGTTTGGGACGGCTTTCTTCTTGCTTTTTAAAATAACTTTCTAGTATAAAAATTTCTTGAATTTGAAATTTTTGTACTAAAAAATTGTTTTAAAAAGCAGTACAAAAGCTGTCACAAACGAAGAATTAATCCCCCTTTGTTATACCTTGATGTGTTCTGAAGATATGTGCTTTATTGGCACAATTTATAAGCAAACAAATTTTAAAATTTTAATATTTGACCATTTTTTGAATATCAATATGAATCTTCTATTATGATCTTGAACTAACTTAGTACCCTTTGCTATATATATTTTAATGTTTGTCAAAGCTATGGATTTTAATGGCATAATTATAGGCAAACAAGTTCTAAAAAATTCAGATAAAAATCCTAAAATTATAAAAATTTGATAGCCTTAAAAAGAAATTTGGGATATAAGAATATTGTTCCAGTTGACTAAAAATTTTATAATTGATATAAATATTTTATTATATTTTTACCATTTATTATGAATTTTATTTATATTTATGAATTTCTTATTTATTTTTCAAAAAATAAATAAATGTAAAAACATGTTATTTAATTGTGAAAGATCTAAAACATCTACTTTTAGATTAATTATTTTGTGAGGATGTCAAATGCCGTCAGGAGACCAATCAAAATGCGCCACGTCACCATTCGCTCTTACCGCGGAGTCAACAAGTGATTCAATTTAAAAAATGATAACACAATTCTAGTTTCCTAGTAAAGACTAATTTAATATAAAAATTAAATAATTAATTAAAATTAAATAATTTGATATTTTTATTAATTAAAAATTGATCAGAGTCAATTTTTCTCTGATGGTTATTTATGGACTTTATTGGAGAGCAGAATTCTATCCCATTAAATTCTCAACTGTAAAACAATGGGGTGGTTACTGTTTGAATGACGATAAGGAAAGTTTAGTGGCTTTTTTTATTTATTTTTTAATTTTTTAATTAAAAAGATTAACTAATTACATGAAAGAGACTAATCAATGATTAATACTGCATTTTAATGTATGGTGGGTTATGTGGGGTTCATTAAGAGGTCCATATATAGTTGGGAATGAATGGTCACTGCCCATAGAATTTCTATTATTATTTATTTTGGTCCATAGTTGTTTTGTATTTATCTCATGACCACCATCGCCTGATAATATTCTTCAGTCAAACTTATCGTCAACAGCATTATTACACGTCCTCGCATGTAAGGCCAATGTACGCCGACGGCACAAAGGTCGAAGGCTATCAACTTCAGCGCCGATTTTCATGAACAACGTTGACGCACGTCATCGCTTAAAAGGCTTATGCATGTCGTTGGCACAAATGCCAGCGTCCAAAGACTTTGCCTTCAATGGCATTGAAGTATGTTTTCGCCTATAAGATTGATGTATGTCGTCTAGACTATGGACAACACCAGCGCATTCTTCAATAACATTAACATCTATATATATATATGGCAGTAATTATCTAATAATTTAGTTTTATCACGGGGTAATATGTGACGTGTGAAAAGAGTATTCATCATAAAAATTTCCCTATCTCTGCACGAAATATATGAATATATATCCACAAATAATTTTTCTTCTTTATTTTTATTTTTTTCAAAAAAAAAAAATCCTTCACAAGAAGAAATGCCATATAAATTCTCACATAAATAATTAACAAGATACAAATTTAGATGTGGGTGAATATACTGGGATGTGCTTCAAAATCTATAAATAAGCCCACTGTCTACTTGAAGGAATGTGAACTTAGCTTAAGATCTAAGAGAGCTGTGTAGCTAAAATAAAAAATAAAAAAAATAAAAAAAATTAAAAAAAGAGAGCTGTGTAGCTCTAAGAATCTTGGAGCTAGCTCCACTGAATTGTCATCTTCAGGGCACTATCCAACTGTCACTATCGGATATCCACACAACCACAGTCCAACCACCAGCTTATTATTGTCATCGATGCATTTCCCAACGGCTATACTCGAACCATCGTCAGACCACTATCTTTGAATCGCCGCTCAACCAATGTTATCAAAATGTTGTCGCCTCAACTACAATCTTTTGACCATCATCTCCAACAATTATCCTTCAATCAACATCACCAAAATATGATCCTCAAACTATATTCATCTATTATAGTCCTCTGACCACCATTGTCCGAGTTCAATCCTCCTACAACTATCAGCCGAATGTGATTCTCCAACCTTTTCACCCGAATGCAATCTTACCATTTACTATCGCTCGTCTATAGTCCTTTATGCATCTTCGCCCAACTATTACTCTTCAACATTTGTAGCCCAATTATGATCATGTGACCACCGTCACATAAATACAGCCTTCTAACAATCATATTCTAATTATGATCTTCCAGCCTTCATTTCTCGACTACTGCCCTTTGAGAACCATCACTTAATTACAATCATCTTATCATTATCGCTCGATTATAATCTTCAAACCACAACCACTTGATTATAGTCATCCTAAGCTTTTCTTGGTTCCACCCTAGACCCAAATACGATCCTCATATTTTCGTTGCTCAATTACAATTATCTAACCACTATCACCTGACTTCAGCCCTCTAACCATCATTGCATGACTACAATTTTCAAAATATTATCACATGAATGTAGTCTTTAGTCCACTATCACTTGACTATAATTCTTCTTATCATTTTTGCTCGACTATAGTTCTTCGATAAATATTCCCCCCGATCTCCATCACCCAACTATGATGATTCAACCACCATGGCCCAACCATGGTTTTTTTTTTTACCATCGTCGCTTGATTACAAACATCCGAATGTCATCTCTCGCCTCCAACCACTTTCGTTTGACAAAAGTCTTTAGACTATCATCATCCAATTATAATCCTCGAACCACCATCACCCGACTACTATTATATGACCTTAATTGATTGACTATGATCCTCTGACCTACAAACCTCTGATTGCTGTCGCCTAGCTACATCGATGCTCACTAAATTAGTCATA